AAGGAAGGGTCTCATTCTTCTGTTTCTTTTGACAGAACGTGATATGTCTAAGCTCATCAGCAGTCTGCGGTCTCTTCTTTGAGGTTGGATAGATGTCACAAAGAAATGCTTTGCACTTTCTAAGTGTCTCTTCGTCTGCTTCTTTTTCTTGTCCCAGGAGACCTCCCTGATGCCCTTGGCTTCGAGTCATTGCTTTCCATGCTTTTGTCTTACCAATCCCTGAGATTGAATTGTTGTTGTCACATTCCGTGAGAGCTAGTAAAGCAGCAAGGACCCTGTCTCCAAGCTTCTAGCAAACATCATGAACTGGTACAAAGCACATTTGATCTTTTACACAGGTGCGGAACCATAGTATGTTCGGGGTAATGCTCGCAAAGTGGGCTGCACTCAAAACAAGAACGTCTGTTTCAGGTAATTGGATGATGATTCTTGTTTCTGGGCTCACTGTGTACTTAGCATGAAACAACATCCAGGTATTTACTTCTTCATGACTGCATGTAAGATCTGCAACATTACCTTGAGAATCTCTCGTGATAGCCACACATCGCTTTCCATCCTTGAATCCTCCTCCGATGATCAGTTTGGTGTTCCCCAGGAGCCTTCCTTTGCCAAGACTGTACAAAGACTTTGATATGAAGTCGCACAGGTTCTCCTTATTCTTAGGGTTGTTAATGTACTTGGCCCATTTCCTGGGTAATAGCGTCGAAGGTCCACCAATGTGTACTTCCAGTACACTTGACGTGCACTCCTTGATCGCTCACCGGCTTTGATGGACATTTCAAAGTAGTGGTCGAAAACGACGTGAACGCAGAATATGTCTGGTCGAAATTTTTTGGCCGGTCGAAAATTCGTGCGGTACCGTGTGAACATATCCTGAATGAATGAAAGTTACACCGATTAATTTAATTGTAAACAAATATCTCACGTTTTAACTTCCTTAGTTACTCAGTTTTTTGAAGGATTATCAGTCATATTAACTAAATCACTAACGGCTTTTAGGCTGCGTGTCAAGTTGTCAACCCAACTTCCCTCCATTGTTTCGTCTCTCCCCACGTGTTGTTTTCTATGGGTCAGAGTTTCTGTTATGTTAGGTAGTGTGTGGGCTTTTTTCTGTTGGAGGGGATAAGCACCGCCTTGAAATTGTTTCCCCGATTCTTTGGCCGCTTTGATAATTGAAAATATCTTTGAAAATTGCAACTACTATAGTTCATGAACAACGAGCAGAGCCGAAAACATGTGTTGATCTTCATTTAGTGAAGACTTGCATTTGCAGATTGTGCAGCTCGTGTTAGTATTAAACATATTATGCTAAAGTTAAAAATCTTGCCATCACGTATCTTAATGATTTAGTTTTACCATCACTGTCTTTCTTATAACTCTCCGTCTAAAGGTAGATACGTTTTTTCCTCAGCCGTAATTAGTCTGCAGTTATTAGAGATATTTAGTTTTTGAGACCTAAAAAAAAGTTGTTTGCATGTACTGGCGAGGTGATCCAAGAGTGCGTCTCAACAAAAGTTACGAAGTTTAAAGATATACTTCTCTGTTATCCTCATATATCTCCAGCTGAATTTTCCATGAATTATAGAAAATTTATCGCTTATTAACATATGTAAGATTTGGGATTGGGAAGAATTGGGAACAATCGCTATTTCTGATATAAGACGACAAGGTCATGATTCGAGGCGAAAGCAAACATTAGACATCTTCAAACTAGAGTGAAATTTTTAGCCACTTGCGCTAAGAAATACATATTATCCAACTGCACAAAGTAGAGTACAAATAACGCGCGAATAGAGTACAAACATCTTGCCATATTGTACGGTTATTTGAACCAGAGTTGGTTATTTTACTCTTACCTTATTTAACAACTGCACAATTGTGAACAAACTTACGATCTCTCTTATTTCTATCTAAAAACATTACGCTAAATAAACATTACGCTATCGACATTGCTGATCCCAGCATTATGCAGGACGCGTGTCATATGAAATTCGTAATCAGGACCTCGCTCACCGTGGAGTCTCTATGGCTAAGTGGTAGAGCATCGGAGCGCGGAATCCGAAGGTCTGAGGTTCGATTCCTTTTGTCCCACGCTCGTGACAAGACGAAAAAAATCTTTCCCTGTACCATTGTTCTTGGTTCACAGCCTTCAGCTCCTCAAGACCTGTCACCAACTGCTTCTCTGTTTGCTTCGCTTTTCCCGCCTCATAGGAAGTGCATAAGGAATAAACCAGTTGGATAATAAATAACTTAATAAACGTTTTGGTGCGTAGTATCGCGGAGTATTTTTACTCGAGTCAAAACACGGTACAACACGTAAAAATAGCAAGTGGGGGTATACACCAAAACGTCCAATAAGATATATCCTGCGATATTCTACGGTTATTCGGACAGTTGTTTATTTTGTGCATAAAATAAATCAGTTGAATAATAAATAACTTATTAGACGTTTTGGTGTGTAGTATCGCTAAGTATTTTTATGAGTTGTGCCGTATTTTGACGAGAAAGAAGTCTGTTCAGCAAGACAAGAAGAAGACGAGAAGAAACCATCAGAGTCTACTAAAGATGCCTGTGAAGACAGCTCCTGTGGTCGGAATCGACCTTGGAACAACTTACTCCTTACTTAGTTGGAGTCTTTCAACATGGTAGAGTTGAGGTAATCGCAAACGATCAGAGCAATCGTACAACCCTCATTTATGTCGCCTTTACTGAACAGAACTCGGCGATGCCGCCAAGATACAAGCAACGTTAAACCCAAGCAACAGGCTATCTTTGATGCCAACGAAGCTGATGAAGTCCTTGAAGATAATGAAGAGTTTCATCTTACGAAGTTGTATAAGCCCAGGGCTTATAACCGGAATTTTACGGTATCTTAAATCCCATATGTTTTTCCTTCAAAACTTCAGTATCTGCTGGCGTCAGATGATTATTTAATGACTCTGGCTATTTGCATATGACAGCTAACGTGAAAGGAAAATACATCCATGGTTCCTTATTGCTGCCATAAGTAATGGTCTCTTAGGGTGATCATTCAATAAACCTGCGACCCTAGTACTTTTACCGCGAATTTACGAGTGTAAAAGAACATAAGCCCATGTTCTGCTGTTTAATGTTTTTCCAAAACAGGAGGGGATTGATGATAAAGAAAATATTTTCAAATGGCGGAAAAGGTTCGCCATTCGTCGCTGCCCTGGTCGTCCCGTTGTCTCATACTTCCGTGATCCACGAAACCTTAAAGTTAGGAAAGTTGTTTCCTTTCATCATTTCCGGAACAAAGGGAGAGGAAGCAAAAATGTTTCTAGTCTTGGTTGTGAAGCCGTATGCTTGACGAAATAATGGCAAAGGATGATCCATAAATAGATCAAGGAATTTTACGTGGTCACTGACTTCACAGGGCGCCAACTGAATAAAACTCGTCACCAGGGCACTTGTCTTACTCCTCTCCAGGTTTGAATCTCAGGGAACCGTTCCTTGGAAACGATTGAGCCAGTGCATGTATTTAGGTTTTATGACGTCCCATAAAGTAAGGACTCTATGAATTTATTTATTCATCAATTGTTTGTCGATTTATTATTGGATCCTAATTTCTTAATTGTTTTTAAGGCGCGGTCTCTGAGGTTGGTTATCTTTTAACTGTTTTTTGTTTCTTTGTTTTGCTACAGGCGTCTCACACGTCTCGAGAAAAAGCAAAAGATTAATTCAAGAAAGCGTCACGCGTTGCGTATTCTACAAGACGGAATGGACAACAGTTGAAATCGTAGTGTGCAACCTTGACTCCGTCATATAACAGGAATAACAATGATGGCAAAGCAGGCCCAAAACGGAAGAGAACACCAGAAACCACACCGGATACACAAGTAGTGTGTAAGTTTTATTAATCTTACCCGTAAAATGTTCATATTTCAGAATATTTAGCGTTGTAAACCGACTATATTATTTCTTATAACGCATTCAAATTCTCAACGGTTCCTCGCGTAACTTGACATGCGTCACAGCACGTGACGCGGTAAAAATAAAGACTAATACAAAGCTCAAATGTAACCATCGTTTAAGAGCTTTGCTTGGATTAGCTATAGAACTGATATTGGTCTCCAGCTCTAAATGAAAAAGTAAAAAAGTAGATAGATTATTTACTGCAAGATGTTTGTCCTTTCCAAAACGATTCCCGGAGTAACTCGCTTCGAGGAACAAAAAATATTATAGTAATGACTGTATGAACCATAAACATCAACCAACTTCCACCGAGAGAGTATAAAAAAAAGGAAAAGAAACGATACCGCGGAGTGTCTTGTAATCATTAACGATATTAAGCAAGACGATGATGGATGATCAACCCCCTAGTGAACCCTCTAAAGGGTGAGTTATCAAGACTGGTAGACAAAAAAAATTTAAAGGAACGTACAATGTGAAACGTGTCGTAAGACCACACGCAATAAGGTACCATTAAGGCGAAACACAAGGTTTACCCAAGAAAAAAGATGCAGGATGTTTTTTCCTCTATCGAAATTGATGTGGTGAGCAAAAGATTCCGTGTTGACATGACGTGTTTCACAGTCCCGTGACTTGTACGACAAATGACATCAGATGACGTGCAGGAAATGTGGGCGGGACAAGGGCGAGGGGTTGAGTAATGTCACTTTCAAGATTTGGATACACAAGTAAATTTACTTTCGTTAGGGGCCTATTATCTTAAAATATAATCCGCTGGGATTTCTTGTCGGTCGCGACAAATGATTCCAAACAGACTCATCGAACGTTTACAAGTTTCATTTGCTATCATGTCCGGTGCAGAAAGCGAAGTATTCATTTGTTTAATCACGGATTAAATTCATTGCTCGATTTCTTTCTCTTTTAACTCATTGTCCGGTCTTCACGTAAAGACGTTCGATTTACATGACCCTCTGACAACTAGCGTGACGTACAAGTACGTGTTACACGATGGCTGTTGAGCACAGATGTAAACCAATCAAAATGCATGTTCTAATCGAGCCACCTCCAGTCCTCCCAATGACCTTTGGACTAGTTTCTACAGAAAGCTTTTCAGTGGACAAGCGTTCCCTTGGAAAATTACCGGCAAGCACGTTAGAATAATTGTAGCGTAACCTGTATGTATTTATTTCTGATCAAAGTCGAAGATGTCATTTACATCAGCTATCTCACGGTAGGCAACACCTCTTGTTAAACTCATGTTTTGAAAATATTTTGTTGAGCTTCAGTAACTGGCAATGTCACGTCGTTCTTTTGCTGTTCCTGAAATTTATCTCTGAAACTGATTTTCGCCACCATTCTACTTATTTGTTTTTGGCAGAATTTCGTCGATAGCTGTTCTGCCGTCAGTTCGTTTTACATTACGTTATCGCATCGCCCTTCGAAGGATGGTTTCACAGCTTCCAGCCGGTTGTTCGGTGATTCGAGGACAGTTTGACTCTCTACCCACTAAAGTACAGGAATACGTGGCTGACAAAGCTGAACTCTGCCAACCGGACAACATTTACATTTGCGATGGGTCCAAGGAAGAGAACGAATCATTAATAAACGAATTGATCGAAAGTGGTGTGTTGACTAAACTTCATAAATATGACAACTGGTATGTTCAAGTAGTTTAAGCCAAATTTGCTGTTGATTTGACAATCGAATATACCTAAAACTTGGATTTTTTGCAAGCAATGATTCATACTAGGGAATCAAGAAGAGGGAACTTGACAGTAGTAAATTTCAGTTTATAGTCCACTGACTGTAGTTTTTGTGTTTCACAGTTTCTTAGCCCGCACTGATCCACGCGATGTGGCACGAGTGGAATCTAAAACGTACATCTGTACAGAGGACAAAGGAGAATCCATCCCAACAGCAAAGGATGGAGTTGAAGGCCGGCTGGGTAAATGGATGAGCGTAAAGGATATGAACAAGGAGTTGAGTAAAAGATTTCCTGGTTGTATGAAAGGTGAGGACATATCTTAAAGAAGAATCAAGCACGATTGCCAACCTCGTGCGGAAACTAGGATTTGTTTAGACCAAAGTTTGTTGAGAAAAAAATCCTTTTGCTTATAACGTGTCTTTTGGCATCAAAATGAAGCTTCCCTACCTTTTTACTGCAAGATTTCGTTAAAATTGTCCTGTCATCCTGGTCTCTTACGATATTGTCTATCGTGCGTTGTGATTGGTTGTTGCGGGAGGTGTGGTAAGGGGTATGCCACGTAAATAGGATATTGTCCATTTCAACTAAGTTTCAAAGGTCATCTTGGTCT